GGGCAACCTGGTACAAGCACCTGGCTCTAGGGAAGAGATCACAGCTTCTGAGTCCCTCTCCCTCCTCCAGGGATGAAGAGGTTCTGCCGAGATATCCACATGATGCTGGGCTTCAAACCAGGGCCCTACTTCAGAGCCTGCTGGATGGTCCTGTCCCCGGCAACGATGATGGTAACTGCTCAGCTTGAGGTGCAGGATGGTGCTGGAGAGCCACAGTGGTGCCAGCATCCCTGGATGACCTCCCCTTGCAAGAAGTCACTCTGCTGGCTTCTCATGCCCTAGGAACCATTCTGGTTCTGCTGGGAGGTCTCCAGGCTTTTTCTGAGTGTGAGACCTTCAGAGGGCTCTGGGCTCTCCTCACTTTCTTCCCACCCCACAGGCTCTGCTGGTGTACAACATCATCAAGTACCAGCCCTCCGAGTACGGCAGCTACCGCTTCCCCACCTGGGCCGAGGTCTTGGGCATCCTCATGGGAGTTCTCTCCTTCCTGATGATTCCCTTGGGCATGGTGGTGGCTGTGCTCCGAGAAGAAGGAACACTGTGGGAGGTAGGAGGTGTTGGGGCCCAGCATTGCTGAGGAGCCCCCCAGAAATGTGTGGGGTGACCATGAGCCCCTGATAAGCCCGTATCCTCCCACAATTTCTGCAACCTCTCTCCTGGAGGTGGTGTCCCTGTCCCTCCTTGCTGCCCATGGGGTGTGAGAGCGGCACGTCCCAGGGCATTTCCATCCAGGTAGCCACTGCATCATGCTGCTTCCCAAGGGACAGCCCAGTGGGCATCCCCCCTCCAAAACAAGCCTGCTACGCCCTGCCGTGGGGGGAAGTACATTGTCCCTAGTGTGGGGCGGGCATGGGTGCGTGGGACTTTGCACCCATTTTGCAGGAGCAAGGACAGAGCAAAGAAGGCAGCTGCCGGTCCGTGCAGGCAGCCCCAGGCAGCATGGGTGGGATCTCTCTGCTGAAAGATTTCGCCCAGGAGCAGGTTATGGAGCTGCTGGATGCTCATAGCCTTCCCAGCCCTGCCTGGGCTTTGCTGCTCTCCCCAGGCTGTTAAAAGCAGAGACAGCAGAGCTTGCCGCCCTCCCCAGGCAGCAACTTGCCAGCTGAAGTACTTATGAGCCACAACCTGGCTTGGCACAGCCGCGGGCATGGTGGCATAGCCAGAAACCCCCTACAACAGCCCGTAGCTCCTGCAAGCCCACCCCACCAGCACCCGCAGAGCATAGCACCTCCCCAGACCACAGCAGGGTACTTCTACAGAGCTGCCTTCACAAAAAGTTTCAGGATGGGCTTTCGGCCCCATCCCACCTTCCCTGGGGGCTCTTTCAGTCCCTCAGGGTTGGCAGAGCACCCCAAACCCCGGGGATGGGGGGGGGTGTGAGCTGCTGGGTGGGGACCAGATGGGGTGCTGGTGCAGGGTGCCCGTGCTGCCTCCTCCTGTCTCCCCGCAGCGAGTCCAGCAAGCCAGCCGGCCCGCCATGGACTGGGGCCCATCGCTGGAGGAGAACCGGACTGGCATGTACGTGGCGAGCCTGGCTGGCAGCCAGTCCCCCAAGCCACTTATGGTCCACATGCGGAAATACGGGGGCATCACCAGCTACGAGAACACGGCTATCGAGGTGGACCGGGAGATGGAGGAGGAGGAAGAAGAAGAGTCCATGATGTGAGAGGACCCAGCACCCCAGGAGCTGGGGGGGTTTCACCGCCCTCCAATTTGCACAGGTTGCACTGCAGCACTTCAGGACGACTCGAGGGTGGGTTTAGGGGAGCAGTCAGGGGCTGCTGACCCTTCCATCCTCCTCACCGCTGCCCTGGATCTGCCAGGGTGGAGCTACTGCCCGTCCCAGTCCCCCCGAGGTGTTTCTGTTCAGTGTGGCAAGCTGTGTGATGAGTCTGTGCGTTTGTGTGACAGTGTCTGGTGCAAGTGTCCAGGCTGTCCCGCTCCCACCCTCAGCTGTAGCCCGGCCCTCCCCATGCAGGGATGCTGGGGCTGCAGGGATGCTCAGGCTGTGGGAGGCGGGGAGGAGGAGGAGATCCTCTGTGTTGGGTGTTGGTCTGTTCTCTGATCGTGTGTATTTAACTCCAATAACCCACAAATACGTGTGAGAAAGGACTGTAATAATCCACAAATACGTGTAAGAAAGGACTGTAATATCCCCCGTGCCCTGAGGACAGTGTGTATCAGTGTGTGCTCTGTGCACACGAGGTATTCCAGCACAACCAGCACAAATCAGTGTCCTAAAGAAATCTGACCTCAGAAATGAGCAGTTAAAAACAATTAGAAGTGGGGGAAAAAAAGCTTTATAAACAAACAAGCTTGGGCCTTTCCAGGCCTGTAGGTCCTCCAGGGACCTCAGTGGGTTAGGGCAGCTCTTCCTTGTGGTGTCTGACAGGGCTGGGACGAGCTGAGGGAAGGGAAGAGGCTGGGTGGCCCATTCTCCATGTGTGCAGGTCAGGGACAGGTCTCAGCTGGACCCAGCGCCAAAGAAGGACCTGTGTCCATCCCCGAGGGGGATCCAAGGGCTGTCCCTAGCCCTGGGTGCTGCTTTTCCCAGAGAAAGGCGAAGGGTTGGGTTTCAGTGCCTGCGTGTGATTTTGGGGTAGCTCAGCCAGGGGCCCATGTCCCAGAGACCTCATCTCCTGCCAATGCTGCTGGTCTGGGGGTGCTGCTGAGCTCCTGGACGGGGCTGTTTGGACCTGATGCTGCCAGTGCCTATCACCCCAGTGTCGTGTGCGCTTTCTCCCGTGTACCATCAGCTCGCCATTAAAAAGTGGTGTGTGACACAGCCTCTGCGTGGGTTATTTGGGGGTTCCTCAGCATGCAACAAGGGCACATCTAGGGGGGCTTCCAGGGATGGGAGGCACAGCCCCCCTGGGCTTTGTCCTGCATATCTCTGTCCTGGTCAGGTAAAAGCCAAAAACCCAGGATAAATAGAAAAATTAGGGTTTACATCTGGATTACACATGTAGCCCTGGTGCACTGGGCTATTTTAACCCGATGGGCCACGCAGACCTGGGTCCAGTGCTGCGGGCTGAGCCTCCAGGGTGAATCTTGGCATGAGGCTGTGGTTTTCCTTAACTCTTCCCTATGGTGGAGGACATTTAATTATTGCCTTTGCCCCTCCATGAACATAGGCCCAGCTCCAACACCCTCTCCTTGTGCCCACCTGCTTCCCATGCCCAGGAATGCTGATCTCCCTCCCCATCTGGCTTTGATCTTCCTTCTCCCTGCAGGACCACCAATGGCTTTCCACATCCCCCTTGCTATACCCCACCATGGCTGCAGCCTGTGGGGATGACGGGGGTCCCCCAGTCCCAGCTTTTCAGGGTGAATGAGGCTCTGGCAGCACGACCGCTCTGTAAAGCACCTTCGGCCGCTAGCCCCCGGGTTAATCATTAGAGGCCGACCATAAAAGTGTCGCTGATGGAAAGTTCAGGCCATGGCGGCTGGGGAACGGGGAGGGCCTGCCATAAACATTTATGGCCCCAATGAATCCCTCGCTCTAACCTTGACACTATTTACCAAGCAGGAGGCCTTGGGAGGTCACGGTGTTGCCCAGCCATCACTGTGGGTGCTGGACGGGGAGCCCGGGCTGGGCTGGCCTCAGGGGGGGCACACACAGGGGTTCTTCATGGTGTGATGGAGCGGATGACAGACTCGGGAGTTTCGTGATGTCACAGCCAGCCACAGTGTGCCAGAGCAACCAGGAGAGCCTGACGCCTTCCTGCGGCATGGAGGTGGAGGTGCCTTGGGCTGACCAAGCTGGTCTGGTCTCTGCATGTCTCTGACCTTTTCCTATCTGCATGGGGTCCTGCCATGTTCCCCAAATCCCCCCTGTAATCCTGGGATCCTCTGGGCACTCCCTTGGCAGCTGCCAACAATCCTGCATTCCAGAGCAATGGGAAGGATGGAGTGGAGACTGCCGGGGATGCGGTGGGGAGCAAAGCTGACAGTGGTGAGGGGAAACCAAGGGCAAAAGTTTTTCGGGTGCTGGGGCAGTGACACAGCCAGAGGACACGAACCTTGTGCCATGTGTGACTGTGCATGGCGAGGTGTGGGACTCACTCATGGCATCACACCCTGCTCCTGGGACTGGTGGGTACCCCGCAATGTGGCCTGGGGTCCGATGCCACCCACCCCACACCCCTGGGCACTAAGCCCCACTCCTGATGCTTTGACCTCCCGACGTGTCCCGCATCTCTCCCGGCGAGCCCAGGGCTTTCTCCCAGGCTTTTCTCAAGACCCTTGGGCCCAGCCGGGTGGTGGTGGGCAGGGGGGCAGTCCTGGGGGTGCCTGAGTCTCTGCCCCTCGTCCTGTCCCTCCCGGGCTAGGGAAGGGGGTGGCAGCCGTGGCCGAAGCGGTCCGGTGCTGACACCTGCTGGGGCCGCGGCACATGGCGGGGTGGGGGGTCACCCGCTCCCACGCCCCGACGGGGTCACCCCGGTGAACAGTCGGGCCTGGGGTGTGCGGGGCAGGGACAGGGCCTGTCGCAGCCCATCCCCAACCCGCCCCCAGGGTACCAGCCTGCCTGCATGGGCAAAGCGTGGCAGCTGCCCCTGGGAGCCCCCCCAAATCCATCCTGGGCTCGGCTGGGGGTTTCTGTGCCCCACACTCTGCAGCATCAGCTTCCCCAAAACTGTTCTTGCTGGCCAGTGGGCAAGGGAGACAGCTCAGCCCCCACCTCCCAGCCAGCCCCGGGCAGCTCCTGGGGCGCCCCACACACCTGCATCCCGCGGAGCCCTCTCCCTGGGAAAAAGGGCTGGGTTGGGAGGAGCCAGGTCTGGGGGTGACATCAAGCTCTCCTGAAGCCCCAGGGATGCTGGTGGCCAGGGGCAGGCAGCACCCAGGGTACCAGCACCCCATGGGCAGGAGGAAAGCGCCTGCTGCCACTGCCCAAGGCTTGATCCCAGCATCGATGCTTTCGAGGACAAGAGCGTGGTGACGGAGGGACAAGGGGGTGGCAGACGGTCTGAGTCACTGCAGTGACAGAGAATCATCCGTTTCCATGCTCAGAAGTTGGTAGCTATTTATTGCACTTGAACACCAAGAATAAAACTGACACTCGCCCTCCCTCCCACACCCACCCCGCTCCCAGTCCCCCCGCCGCCCTCCCCAAATAGAGCATCCGATTTGAGCAGTGATCATTCTGTTCACAGCCACAGGTTCCAGAAAAACAAAGGAAAAAGAAACAAAATCAATCCCTCCCCCCCCATCAAGCTCCCACTGAATCCAACACGGTCACACTGCTCGACAGTTCGAGTGCACTTACAAAAAGATAAGAGAAAGGCTTCAGCTGCAACTGTACGGACTGACAGACACGAGGGGACAGGCAGCTACCCCTCCCCGGGGCCTGATTTTTTGTTATGTGACAAAGCTTGGTATACTCTTGATTATAATATATTTTTTGCAATCATCTTAAATAAATATTTCCATAGAGATTTCCTGTAAGTATATGTATATATTTTTATATATATAATATATAAGAGAGAGAGAGAGATATCTCATTTTTTTTCTTAAACCACTGTTAACATATTTTCCCTGCTTGTCAAAAAAATGTTACAAAAGCCCTAAAATTGTGCAACAGTTAGAAAAAAGGGACAACAACCCAAAGAAGGAAGGAGCCGCTCGACACAGCCCCCTCCACCGCCCCCCTCTCCCACTCCCTGTCGACCTGCAGGTGGGAAGGACATTCAGCCAAGGGGCGGGGAGCTGGTGGGTGGCCTTTGGGGGATGGATGGCAGAGGGGCCACCAGCCCCTTCTCCACTGTTCTCACAGCCTGTTCATGTCTGGGTTTCCCTGTCTGGTACGGATGGGCTGGGACCTACACCTCTGGAAATGGGTGATGGCAAGGTCTCTACCCTGCTAACAGGAGGATGGTTTTTGCATCAAGAGAGTGGTGTACACCATGAGATGTGTCTTGCAGTGGGGAAGAAGGGTTAGCTCAGGTCCTGGGATGATCAGAGGAGTTGGTTATGGGATCTTTTGCTGACAGACATCTCTTGGTCCATGGGGCTATGTGGCTGCCCTCTCAAACATGACACTGCTGTTTGCTAGTCCCCTGCCGTGGGCTGCAGAGCAGACTGTGAGCTCAAGTGAGAGCAGACGGCTGCTGCTGCCTCCTCCAGCCTCCAAGGCTCCATGGGGGCATCAACTCCTGGAGGACAAAGGGAGACGAAGCGGGTTTGGGGTCAGACAGGGGTTTGGTGCCTGGCAGAGGGGGAATTTACTCAGAATTGGGGGTAAGACAGCTCTCCTGGCTGTGCCCGGCCAGGGCAAGGAGCAGAGCACCTGCTCCTCCAGAAAGAGCAGAGGCCCAGGAGCAGCCTCTTCTTCTTCCAGAGCAGATGCACCAGCAAGACCTGAGAAATTATGATGTTGCAGCTGGATCCTGGCAGCCAGACAGGGAAAACAGGCGACTCCCAAGCCCACCTGTGGAGCTGCAGGCCTGAGACCACCACAGCAAGTGCTTCCACTCAGATATTCCCTGTGGTATGTGGGAGGTGGAAGGGATGATCAGTCTGGAGGACTTCCGAGTTCAGTTTGACCCAGACAGCCAGGCAACCAGGTGAGCCAGGCTCTGTCTGTACTAGGAAATGAAATGTGCTGCAGCCTGTTCTCCAGCCTTGAGGCTGACGGGGACAGGAGGTCCATGGTGGTAAACTCCATCCCAACAAGGTGGTCTTGTCCATATTGCTTATTGGGAACATGCCCTGAATCTTGTCAATCCCAGAATCATGGTGGGATTGCTGGGGTGATGCCAATTAGCACGTGCCAGGGACAGTGCCAACAGCTTCAAAGTACAGATGTAACAGCAGCATCCCTGGCTCTATGAACCAAAGGAGGACGGTGGCCATTGATTATTCTTTTCATTTTCTTGCAAGTTGAGGAGAAATCAGGAAATGTGAAGGAAGACAGAGACAGAAGCTGTTCACCATGGCTACTGAAAGAAAGGATGGTGGTATATCAGTGCTTGCTCAGAGATGCTTTGGGGATACAGGAACCTGGTCTGGAGAAGCAGGGCGAGGTGGGGAAGAGAAACCAGGCAGAATAGACCCCTAAAGTGCAGGTGCTTAATGCTGCCAGCATGGGCAGGTTGGGAAGTTGGGTCTTCCTTGGTCAGGCTTCAGCTTGACTGGAAGACTAGAAGGAGTTGAAACCCCAGACTCTGCTTTCCCTGGAAAGGATTGGGAGCATTTTAGGTGCTGCAAAGACATCCAGTTTCCTCCAGAGGAATCTGTCCCTGGAGAGATAACCATAGGGAAACCTCGAAGAGGAGAAACCACCTCCAGCAAGACACCTCAAAGACTTCCTGGAAACCAAGATGTTCCTCCCTAGCAGTGAGTGTCCAAAGTGGGCTCTCAATGAAAGGAGATTGTATCTACCCCAGCATCTCATCCGTCATCCCTGGCAAACCCCACTGCACCCCCTGTCCCAGTCTTTTCTCCAGTAACAGCTGCTGAGGCAGCTTCACCCTCACAGCCCACCTGAGGTCCACAGTTAGTGGCAGCTCCAAAACCAGACTGAAATGGCATCTGCGCTACAGCTCCCATGCAAAGCCCTGCCATGACCTCCTCCTTCCTTACCCATCTCATACCAATCACCAAAAATACTCCTGGCACCAGGAGAGCCTGAGCATCAGGAGGTGGATGAGACACTCACCGTGGCTGGCTTCAGAGCCAGCTCTGGAGAGGGAGAGAGAGAACTGTGAAAGAGCTGAGTCCTTCCTTTAAAAAATGAAAAAAACTTCAGCACTACATGACTACAGGAAGAAAAACAGATCTGTAAAAACACCCAAACTCTACCTTAAAAGCTAATCCTCTCCCTGCATGGATTTCCCTGCTCTGGGGCCAACTCTTGCAAGCCAATGCAACTCCATGGTCTAACAGCAGAGGTTCACCAAGGGCATGGCGACACCCATTTGCACCCATGGAGCACCTGTGGGATTTGCCCCCAAAAAGGCATCTCCTACACACAATGCCAGCAACCATCATGCCACTGGCAAGTGGAACACACTGAAACACTTCTCAGGGCCTGTTCATGCCCCAGCAGTTTGGATTTCTTCCCCTCCATCCAGTGGGAAAATAGTTTTGCAGTCTGCAAGGACGCAGCTGCATTTCATACGGCAGCCGTCCCTGCCTCGACAGAGAGCAAAGCATTCAAAACCACAGAAAAGGCAAAATACACGCTCAGAATTTACATGGAGAAAACATTTCCTTTTTTTTTTTTCTTTTTTTCCCTTTTTTTATGTCCAAAACGAGCGGTTTTTTGTTCATTTCTTTGTTTTTCAACACACGCACCGTATAGAAAGTTAAACGCCATGCAGATGAAGAGAGTGCAGCTAGAAAGTCCCCCAGGGCAGCAGCGCTGCAGGAGTCTCATGTCAACAAGCAAAGAGGTTCCAGTTGGAAAAAAGAGAACAAGAAACGGAAGAATTGCCGGAAAAATACCCACTCTCAGACCTCTACCTGACGGAAAAGAGGTGAGACCAAAATTCCCCTTCCCGGCCATGTCTTCTTGTCCTGCAAGCCACATCCCAGTGGCTCCCCAAGAGCCACCACCTGGGTTTGCCCTGCAGGAAGACCCGTGGGGTGCGGGAAGGCGCCCCGGGGAGGGGGGATGCCCCTGGAGGTGGGTGCCTTCGCCCGCCCAGTGCTGTGGGATGGGATGGGATGAGCAGCCACGGTGCAGGGTGGGGGCTGGCAGCCGCGGGACCCCTGGTAGGAGCATCATGGCGGTGCAACCCCTCTCCAAATGTAAACGCAACAAAAAACATCAATCCCGAAAATCCCCCCTGCCCTCCCTGCCCTAAACAGTTGAATGTTTCTAGTTATTACATAAAGATCCATTTCAGCAAATACTCAAAATCAAGTTACGAAATACACAGTAGGTTGTTTTCTTTTCCCTATAAAAAGGCATGCGCTCAAAGTAGAAGACAGCTAAAGGCTTGTTTGTTTTCTTCAAAGCACAATCAGATTCTGCAGAGTTTTGTTACTTTATAAAGCTTGCATTCCTTGTTGTCGCTGGAAGGAGTCGTGTGGGCGATGGATGGAGGCTTGCACCCCAAATCAGTGGCCAACTCAGCTGCCCCCGTCCCAGCCTGGGAGTCGGGTGCGGGGGAGCTCTGGGTGCTGCATGCGAGGGGCAGGGGTGGGTGCTCAGTGGGGCTGGGTGCTGGAGCAAAGGATCCAGGCTGGGTGGTGGGTGAGGAGGAGGGCACGGGAGTGATGCTACCGCCATGGCATGGCTGGGAGATCCCTGGCTCCCGGCTGTGCCGATGCGGGGCTAGGAAGCAGTCGTCTTTCTCCTCCTCTCCCAGCTTCGCCAGTCCCTGCTCCGAAGGGAGAAAGAAGGGAGGAAGGAGGGAGAGCATCCCTCTCAGTGTGGCAGCCGCCCGGAGCCAGGGTGCGAACCTACTCACTCTCCTGGGAAGGAGCCAGCCTACGCTCCTGGGAAGGGATAATAAACAGATAGCCTTTACTCACCCATCCGAACACTGCCCTCCTCACAAAAATGGACTTTGCAAATGGTTTAAATTGCGGTTCCCCGGCCAAGGCTGCTGGGAAGCGGGAGCTCAGGTTGGCAGCAGGCAGGAGCCACGGCAGCAGATAGGGACCTTGATAGCAGCAGAGCAAAATCCACCAGCGCACAGAGAGGGGGTGCAGCACAGAGCAGCTCAAAATAGCCCCCCTGCCCTCCTCTTCCTCAGGGGGCTCCCAGCAGAGACGGGGATGGAGGTGGATGATGAGCCTGAGCCCAATTCAGGAGACGTGCCGGGTAGTGGGGAGTCCCACCAACGCCATGCAGCCGAGGAGGGAGGCCTTTACCCCGGCACGTGTCATCTCACCGGCCAGATGCTTGGGTTTAGGTTCATGGTTTCTCTTTTCTTGGTTCATGCAGAGGAAGGGGGCCCAGTGCCACGGCCCCAGCGGGATGGGGAGGTTTGATGGGATGCTTGCGTGGCGCCGGCGGGGCTGTTGCGTGTGTGCGGTGAGAAGCGAGGGGTTATTCCAGCAGGAACCAAGCAGCAGAGCCAACAGCCAAAGTCCCGTAGGTGAAGATGTCAGAGGAGGTCTCCCCTTGGTAGTCAGTCAGTGACAAACCCAACACGGGCAGGACCGCGCTTCAGCTGCAAAACACAAACCGGGAAAAGGAGGAGTTTGCTTCAACCATCCCTTTGGCAGAATGTCCCTCTCCCCATTGCCACCTCACAGCGATCAGCCACCTCCTTCCCACCATGAATCCTCAGGGCAGGATCCCACCCGCTCTGCAGTCTCAGTGTCGCGAGGAGCCCAGACCGTCCCTCCCTGCCCGCCCTGCCCCATCCCCGGAGCCTCACAGGGCTTACTGCGGTAGGACGGAGGGCGCGCCGGATCTGTGGAAGTGGACGATTTGCCATTTGCCATCCCGGCGGTGCCAGATGCGGGTCTCCTCGGACTGGGCCGTGCGAGGGATCCCTCCCGCGTCCACGTACTGTGTGATGCGGATGTAGGCGATGCAGGCAGACTCGTCTCCCATCAGGTGGATGTGGGGGTTCAGAATCGTCGTGTGCACGGGCTTGCTGTTCCGGGACCACACTGGGGAGGGGACAAATACAAGTGGCTTTAAGCAGGGGAAGGAGTTTGAGTGGCTCTTGCCCAGGGTGGCAGCAATGTGGGAAGGGGAGATGCTTGAGTTAGGCTTTCTGCTTGGAGGGGCTGAGTAAATGCTACATGGGTGGGTTCAGGATGGATCCACCTAGAAAGCAGCTAATCAAAACAACTCCTCTGCATACAGCCCAGCCCCAGGCTTGAATCACCTTCTCCTGGGATCTTCCAGATCAGCCAGGGACAATCCCAAAGCCACCCTTACCCTCCTCTCTCCAGCAAGCTGATGGAGATCAAGACACAGCTGGGCCCATGGGAGGTAGAAAGGGTCCCTCGGCAGGCAAGGGGGCTGCTTACGGTTTTCAAAGTAGAATCGGTGGAAATCCAGGCCTTCCACAAGGTTGCCCAGAGCCTCAGGCTCAAAGGCAGTCATCCCAGGGTCGCACATCTTCCTGGGGAGGCAGAAAGGGAAGACAGAATGGAGAGGTTATCTCACTGCTTCCAACATCAGAGCCTGCAAAACCCAAATGGCTCATGCTCAGGATAACTCCCTCAGCCCGAGCCTGAGGAGCCTCTGCACCAGCAAGTAATTCAAGCAGAAATCTGACCTCATCCCTGCACTCTGCATGAAGCCCACCCTACCTCGCCTCCAGCTCACTGACTGAAGCCAGGACTCCAATGAGTCAGGCTGAATTCTCCATCAGTCACCATCTCCAATTAAACCTCCCAAAACACTGCCATCTTCTTCGTAAGAGAGAAAAACAGCAGGGAAAAATTTGTATTCTCTGCTCTGTATCAAAATATCCCTGTTGCAATTCTCTGAAGCAGGGATGAAGACCTGCACTTGCTCAGATATCACTAATTAAATAGGCCCCAGACACAGAAGAAGTGTACTCTGAAGAGCAACAGCACAGTGAGTAGAAAGCTTCCAAGCAGCCTGTGGCAATCTGGATATAATGGATACCATGGATGCAATGTTCCTTCTTCCACCATAAATCACGTTTACAGTTATTCACCTTTCTGCAAACCAGAAAAATGGGCTCATCCATGATAATGAGACCAGAGATATGTAGTCATCTTAGTCTGAAAGAAGCATCAGGTTTGGAAACTGATGTCCTTTGCTTCTCTTGGATGGTCTCCATGCCCCCCCCACCATGTCAACCTGGTCACCCTGCCCTGAGCAGCAGTAAAACCTCTGAGAATGCATTGTCACAGTGAGAGCACCCACTCCAGGAGGCTGAGCCCCCACCCTGGCCCAAACCCTCGCTGGGGACACTCACGTGTAGGACTCAAAGTCGCCATTGCTTATTGCTTCGATCAGCTGCTCTGTGACTTTAATGATTTCTTGCTTCCGTACTGTTGGTTTAAAGAGAAAAAGAAAATAAAAGGAGAAAACAAACCAGAAGTGCTGGTGTTGCAATATTGGTGAGATATATTTTTCTCATTAGAAACAAACACAGGACATTGGGGGACATTGGAAACTGTCCAGGGAAAAAGCAGAAAAGCAACTTGGGAGAGAGATGTGGGGAAGGGCTCTTCACCTCCACGGAGGAAAGACCCCCAAAGGCAGGGCAAAACTGAAAAACCCTGTATTTTCCTAAAGAGCAAAAGGGTTAATCACCAAGTGGTGAGCTGCCCTGGTCCCAAAAGTTGACACAGGTTGATCTTGGTTGCAAAGCCTTGCCAAGCTGGGACCTTCTACCCCATGAACTCACAGCAGTGGCCAGCCAGGGCAAACTGGACCAAAGATGGTCTCACCTTGCTCTGAGATGGGAGAAGAGGGTCTCAGCTGGGAGGACAGGTGGGTGATGTGGGCAGCCTTCCCAGGAGGGACAAGGAGGGACCCCGTGAAGGGCATGGCACTGTGCAGGTGCTGCCAGGGACTCTGGGCACCGCCAGATAATCTGGGAAGGGACTGAGCTGTAAGAGCAGGTTTGGCTCCCTGGGATGCAGAAGGAGCTGTCAGAGGTAACCCCAGGCTTATTAACAAGGCTCTGCTTCAAATGCAAATTGGTTTGACTTTTTTTTTTTTTTTTTTTTTTTTTT